TATGTTGTTTTTGAGTTCTACAAAAATATTTATTTTTTCTCATGAAGGTCATGATCTAAGGGATTACAACTATTTACTTTATATTAAATTATTTTTTACATATATCGCAATTTAGACAACAAAAATCGAATAACTCAAAAACAAAACAAAATTTTGTTCTTAAAAAAGATCANTTTATATTAATTATTATTTTTTGGAAACAAATTATTTAAAAAAAAACCGCTTGGTTCAATACTTTATATTCACCCAGTATAAAACAAATTTAAAAAGGAAACACTCTGCAGGGTACTAATTTTTTGAGTTTGGCAACCTTTACCGGTTGTTTTCCCTTTAAAATATTTTGTAATCGGATCATTTTTCTGAAACTGTCCAATTTTTAACTTGAACTGAAATTTTCAATGGAAATTAGTGATTTTAAAAAAATATGCACAAATATGCACTATATCCTCAAATATGCACCAAGGTGTCAAAATATGCATTTTTCATTTCATTTTAATCAAAAAACATTAGGTATGCATGGAAAACTTTCAATTTTGTTGATATACCTACCCCTTAATAACAAATATGCATTTTGCATATGTATAATCCGAGCCTTAGTCCTAAAAAACAGTTTGTTTAACTGAATATCTATGACTTTGCTGGGGAAGTTATGCAAAGTCTTATTATTTTAGGAACTATACAGGCTGCGCCAGAACTCGCGCCCCATAGAAAAATTTCAAGTAAGATAAGATACCAGGAACATAGAAAAAATGTTTAAAAAATTCTATCTGTCAAAAAATTTTGACATTTATTTTTTGACATTTGACTTTTTTATGTCTATTTAATGATACTGATGATCTTGTATATGCTTTTTTACAATTATTTAGTAAAGGCACAAAATTATGCAAATTTTTAAAATTTACTCGTATTAAAGAATTACAGCCAATTTCAATAGTCCGGTCAAATTAGTCATAAAAATAGTGGTCAAATAACGAAAATTCCTACAGAGCTAAATTTTGGTGAAGACCTTGGATACACCATTAGAAATAATGTGTCAAAAGTCTTCATCGATCCCATGTGTGCTCGAGGTCAAAGGTCAAAATTTGAGGTATTTTAGATTTTTTCGAAAACGGTAGGTTTTAAAAGATAAATCTTAAAACAAACACTTTTATAAAAATGCAATTTTAAAAGTAAGATTAACATGCATTGCTCCTATATGGGGCAATACCTGGATAGCAAACCTTAACTTCAAAAAATCATATCTTGAAAACCACTCGGTATAATATTTTGAAAATTTGAATTCCAACTAATAAAAAGATGCTCTACACTGTGGTGACGAAGAAAAAAAATTACTCGTAGGGTTTTTCTTAGATTACTTCGATTTATTTCGAACTTTTTCGAACACTGCCAATATTCAATTTTAAATTTAAATTTTAAAAGGGCGAGTCCATCCCTTTAGAATGGTTTTTATTTGCAGGAAATCGGCCAAATAGTTATTGAGTAATGATTTTTTAAAGTTAAAGTATTTTAAATTCATTTAAATTAGAAAAAAAAATTTAGTGTGTGGACTTTTTGAATTTTTTTTAGTACATTTGATTTGTCTCACTGAGACGAACAAAATGATATAAAATGTGTAAAGTTGTCACGAGATGACTTTTTTTTGTCGCCCTGTGTTATTAGAGATTTGAATAAGATTTATTGACAAATTAAGCTTTGTCAAAATAACAATTAAACGGTATCCAAGCATATTGCTTTTTGCATGAATACCTTGACAAGTAAAATCCGCCTACGTTGCAAAATTTACTATTAAAATTCTAAAATTGAAATTGTTTTCTGAATGCATTATGTAAAGTAAAATGTAATAAATAGTGGTTTACCGTATTTGTCATGCCAATTATTATTGTTTCGAGCAAAAAATAATAAGTGTTCCATTTGAAAAATTAAATTTAGTAGCATTTTCGGCTACACCGGATGTGCCAAAAAAGTTGATGCATTTACTAAGGAATGAATGGTATTATTTGAAAAATAATTTTTGGAAAAAAAAGTAAGTTGGTGTTATCAGCCTTGGACTGAACACCCTGTATATCTTATACAACGTCCCAATTAGCGTAATTCCACACCACTGAGTAATTTGAAGTACGTGATGATTGAAAGTGTAATAATTTGAACATGTGCTCAATCCACACAATTTCCTCAATGTTTACCAATTTTAAAAAATTGGTTCCAATTTTAACTAGATTAGTGTTAAACAAATGATTTTAGTTTATTTGTTTCCGATCAGTGTCAATAGATCACAAATGAATGTTGATGACGGAAATCTACTTACTAATTGCACAAGCCTTTCAGTAATTGACCAATTTACTTTCCAGAAAATGAATATATCAGATAATCAAAAGCAAGTTTGTTTATAATTTTGTGAATTTTTTGAATAAAACCTCTCACTATAAACCGGAACATTTGACATATGTTTCGCTCATAATTTTGTTGTAGCTACCTTCTTATTAACATAACTTTAAGCACTGATAATTTAATTACTTGTAAATGGAGAGCAATTCAAATCGGTGATTGTAAGTGGAACTTGTTACCATTAAACAATGTAGATTATATTTTAAAATAATTTGTATTATATAACAGAACAAATTAGTGGCCAAAAAGTGCTACTGTCACTAAATTGTAATTACAGCAATGAGGTGTTAAAAATTTTTCGGGTTGTGTGTTGCAATGGCCTCTCACATAGTAAAATACAATACAAGGTTGTCGAAGAGATCATAAATATTACAATCATTATTATTAATTAAATTAAGTAAAACCAAATTAAGACGTATTTTACGTACAACCTAAAAACATTTTTCAACAATATAGTGAAATCTTAAATGAGTGTAAATACGTAAATACTCCTATTTAATTTCTGTAGGTACTTAATAATTAAAATGTCATCAATAAGGCTCGGATTATACATATACACGAAAAATTCGTAAAATATGCGCATATACTATATGCACGTATTTTCACAAAATATGCACAAGATATTAAGAAATATGCTCCAATAAAACAAAATATAATAAAAAATCAAAGTTGGGATAAATTTTTATTCTCGACTTTGTATTTTCGGCATCTTGAACGAAAGAGAATAAATAAATTTATTTTGAGCAAACAAACCATTTTAATAACCTTTTCTAAGAAATCTTTACTCTTCAGATCACTTTACTTAAAAATATTTCGCTAAAATTCACTTTCAGGCAACTACTTATCTACTTATAGCCATACCGGGTGAATAAAAAGTATGGACCCAAACGTTTTTTGCTTAAACTATTTATTTTTTGGAAGAACTAATTAATAAATGATAAAGTACTATAAAAACGTGATGTTTTATCAAAAATAAAATTTTTCAAAATCTTCTTTTGTTTTGAA